GATGCCCCTTTGTCCTGACAACCTGGGAAACTGGTATCAGATCCTTCTCACCGAACAGATGGGCCAGCCTAGGTTCAGAGAGGTGGAGACGGTTGCCCAAGGTCCCAGGGATAGTTAGGGCCAGAGCTGCGATTCAAACTCAAAGCACAGCTTAATTAATCTAGGCTCTGTGGGGTGCGGAGGGGTGCAAAGGTTGCTTCCCAGCCATTCCTACAGAAGCCGCTCTGCTCCAACTAAAGGGGAAAAAATAAAGTGGGGACCAAGTTCAATGGCAGCCTGCCTGAACATCAGGTGTAAGGCATCCCACACTCCCAACCCATCACACACACACACACACACACACACACGGGTTACTGAGAGGAGTGGGCAAAGGGGCGGCCAGGGCGTTGGAGAGAGGCCTCGAGAGGAGTCAGGGGCAGGAGTAGGGGAGCCAGCCTTCACCCATCACTGTTCACCCCAGGGAAGAAAGCCCGGGCGGGGCGGGAGGGGGCTGCCCTGTGTCACTCATCCACTCGCCGATCGTAAACGAGGAGGCGCCCAGGAATAAGGGACCCGAGACGCGAGTTGCGCCAGTAAAAGGTAGGGGGGTAAAGGGCCGGCTCCCACGTCTCCATTCGCGGCCCCCCATCCCCATCCCCCCTTAATCGGCGCAGCTAGCGGCGTGGCCCCTCCCCTGGACCAACAAGGAGATCGATCGAGATTAACCGTCCACTCGCCTGCCCCTGGCGGTCAGCGTGGCGAAAGCCAGTTTTGGGCCCGGGAGCCTAGCCACCCACGCGCTGCTGGGGTCCGGCTCCCCTTAGGGTCCCCAGGCGCTCCGGCCTGTGCGCGCCACGTGCTGCGCGACTCCGCACCGGGGAGCTGGGGCCCCGCCCGGCGTCCCCTCCCCCGGCCGCAAAGCTGTCAGGCCCGGCCGCCCTGCCCTCGTGGCAGGAGGGAAGCGGCGCCTTCCGCCCCGGCAGTGCCCAGCACCCCATATCCAGGCCCCGAGGAGTACCTGGCGGAGAAGGAGTCTTCCAGCACTGGGATCTGCGCGCCCTCTCCGCAGCTTCCCGCGCCCGCCCGAGCACTTTTCAAACCCGCCCTCCGCTGGGCCCGCCCCCGGCCCTCGCCCGCCGCCACCTCCCCGCAAAGCGGCGCACCCAGAGCCCCGCCCCTGGCCTGCCCCGCCGCCCCCACGACCGCGCCGGACGCCCTGGGCTCCCACCCCGTGACCCTGCGCTCCCTGGCCGCCGGGTCCCCTTCCTATTTCTGTGGGTGGGACCTCTTTGGGTCTTGCCCTAGCCCATCATGGGGCACATAGGGCTGGAGGGTGCAGACCCGACACTGGGCTCCCCCTGGGCGGGGGCTAGGCCCACACACCCCACCCCAGATTCCATCTAGGGGTTCTCCCATCCATCCACAGAGCCTGCGCTCCCACAGGTCGGGCCGCCCCCAGGTCCTCACCCCTCCTCACAGGTTCCGTTCACCCATCTTCCTTCCGGAACCCTCTCCATGGCTTGTGCCCACCCCCATCCCCTGGGGGCAGTCCCCTCTGTGACCTGTGTGGTGAGCTTTCCCCACCCCCTCCTGGTACAGACACAAACACACCACCCGCGCGCGCGCGTGTGTGTGTGTGTGTGTGTGTGTGTGAGAGAGAGTGTGTGTGAGTGTGTGTTGGGGAGGAGAACGGGGTAACCCCTTGGTGATTCACCCTTTCTAAATTCAGCACTTGGGAAAACTGAGGCACGGCTGGGGAGGGGAGGAGAGGAAGCCAGGAGCAGCCTTACATCCTGAGCAAATCCTGTTGTCCTGGCCAGGGGATGTTTGCTGCTGTCTGCCTGGAAGCCTCGCTCTGCTCCACATCCTCCCCCTGCCTGGAGAGGGAGGGGTGGACTTGCAGGGGACGGGGTCGGAGGTGGTCCCTCCTGAACGTCCCAGGGAGAGCGAGACTCCTTTTCTGATGGGCATTAAAGGGGTGTGTGTGTGTGTATGTGTGTGTGTGTAAGTGTGTGTGTGTAAGTGTGGGGGAGTGTGATTTGCAGCCCCTATGCCCGCACTCAGTGCTGGAGAGAGCCAGAGGGGGAGCAAATCCAATCCAGGCTGCCCAGGCCACTCCTAGTGACCCAAGGGGCCTGTCCCTGGGAGAAGCCACAGACACAAATGAACAATTAGCAGTCTATAATAACATCACAGGGCTGGTGCAGACTCACACACTGGGGCCCCGAGGGGAAAGCAGCAGTTCTGCCTGGAATCAGCAGACACCCCCCCAAGCCATCCCAGAGGGAGTATGTCCCCCAGCCTTAGGGCTTGTGCCCCACCCACAGCCCAGCCGGGCCCTGCGCAAACAGAGGACAGGAAGAAGGGCTTGGGTGGTGTTTTTCTAGGCACTGCCCCATGGCCCACAGTGGCTTCATGTCTCTCCAGCCCACCCCCGTGTTTGTCCAGTCTCCCTCCCTTCCTCTCTTAGCCCGCAGCTCTCTCTCCCTTGACCCCCTGCCTCCCTCCCACCTTCCTTTCCCTGCCCTGGTCCTGTGGGGGTGGCAGGCCTGGTGGTCGGGGAGCATGCCCAGGCCGGTGGCCACTGGCTACAGCAATGTGCAATGGGGGCTGGACGAGGATGGAGACTGGAGGGAAGTGGTCATAGTCCCCCGGCCAACTGGGGAAGGCTGGTTCCTTCCCCTACCCCCACAGGGCCTGGCCTGCTCGGCAGACGGCAGTAGCCAGGGCTGCTATTGGAAACGGGCCCATCTGGCACACACCCACACCATACCTGGGCCCCCAGCCAGCACCCACACCCCTGCGCATCCGTGTCCCCAGGCAGCAACAGTTGCTGGGTGCTAGGGCCCTCTGCTGGACAGCCTGGGGAGCCCGACTCAAACAGGCCTCGCCATGGGTCCGTCTGCCCAGTCCTCTTCACTCTGCCCAGTGTTACTCAGAGTCCCTCAGGTTCTGGGCACAGGGTGGAGTGGGTAGGACTGGGCTGGTACAGCTGCAAACCCCACACACCCTATTCAGGATTGTGGCTTGTTCCCCTTGCAGCCTCCAGCAGGGCCTCTCCACCACTGGGCACACCGTCCTGTCCACCCCAGGCCATGTTCTCTGAGCTGTCACCCACAAGCCATCTGTGTTGGCTGGAAGCGTGTTTGCTGCAGCTGGGGCGTTGTCAGCTGCACACGTTCGAGTTCCGGAGCCTCACCGCAGGGCTGGGACTAGGGAGAGGCCAGTGAGCCACTTGCCCGAGGCACAAAATTTAAAAGGGGGTGCTAAAAACTCAGTAAATCAAGATGCATCCAATGCAATGCTTCTAAATCAAAGCTAATGCAAAGAACCCCCGATGAATAAGACGTTGTAAATAAAGGCAGGTGTGTACACAGGGTGGCTGCCGGATCAGGGTTCAGCTAGGCGTTACTCTGTTCCCTAGTCTGGGCCTCACGGCTCCTCTGACCTTGGGGCACCTGTGTTTGGGGGAGAGCCGGGAGGGGTTGAGAGACAGGCATCCAACTCGGGCCTCCAAAGTCCCAGAAAAGTAGCCGTTCCACCAGAGACCAAAGCTTGCGACATCTCTGATGGACAGTCTCTTAGCCCGGGAAGTCCCCCAGCCCCGCCCGCCCAGCCGGAGGCGTGAGACCCGCGCAAACCCCGCCCCCACCCCGGCCTGCCCGGTCCCCGCCCGCGGCCCCCACCCGTCCCCCGCGCACCTGCAGGGGCGTCCGGACTTGGGGGCAGGGGGCGGGAATTCCCAGGCCGGCGGACTCCCGGCACCCCTCTCGGCCGCCTCACCTCGGGGCTGTGGCCGCAGCCATGGCCGGAGAGCGCCGCCCGCACCCGATCTGACCCGTCTCTGCCGTGGGGCGGGAGAGGCTGCAACCGGCAGTCCTGGCGCGCGCCCCGCGCCTCGGCGCGGTCTCTCGGTCCCGCCGCTCGCCGCTCGGGGGCGTGCGGCGTTCCGCGAAGCGGGCGGGAAGAGAGGCCCGGGCCGGCCCCGTGGGAGGGGCCCCGGGGCCGGAGAGGGAGGCGCCGCCGGCAGACGGGGCTAGAGGGGCGGCGGCTCGGACCCCTTTACCCCGTTCTCTTCCCCTTCCCTCCCGCACGCAGGCCGCTTTCTGGGGCGGGGTGGGGGTAGCACGTGCACAGGCTTTGAGGAGCCGGGAGGAAGCAGATGGTGAGGGCGGTGCTGGCGGAAAGACCTGCGGGAGGTGTGTGGAGAGCAGTCGCCGCTGAGGTCTCACTTCTTGCCCCCGACCGCGACAGGAGCCCATATTCCTAACCCTCGCAACCTGGAGCCCAGGACTCACTCTGGGACTGGGAAACACTGCCTGGGATCAAACAAACTCCCTGGGCTCCGCGATGCAAATATGCTTGACAGCCCCTGTGGGAGCCCCGGGGGCCTCCGGCTGGGAGGGAAAGTAGAGAAGTGAATTCTTCCGGTCTCCCCCACCCCGGCGACCTGGGAGGGCTCACAGGATCCCTCAGCAAATAAATCTGCCTGTCCCCACCGCGGCTGGGGGCCAAGGCTGCAGACTCACCCCAGGGCGTGTTCCTGACGGCTGTGAGGGACAGCCAGCCGTCTGCCTGAGTCACAGCGCACCTGCTGACTGATGATAGATGCTGCAGAGACCTCCAGGCTGTGAGCACCGAGACCGACCGTGGACAGGTGGCCATAGGAAGCCTTGCCCTCGCTCGCCCCGGTTCCGCCCCTAGCTCAACTACCTGGCCAGAGACTTCAACAAATGTTTATTGAGCACCTGCTGCATGCTGGCCCTGAGTTCTTCCTCTTTTCAGGGAGGTCTCTAGAAGACAGCCTGGATTCAAATATTTCTCTGCTATGTGTCACTTGTGCTGGTTAAGCAGTGTCCCCCACGGCACCTTGGTGTCTCCCTCCGCTCAGTTGCCTGGAGGTCCCTTCCCCTCCCCACTTGAGGCCAGAGATGGTTTAGAAGAGAGCTTTGGGAGGACCTGTGGGAGGAAGGAAGGGCAGTGCCCAGGGCTCTGCTAGACGCAGGGTAGCCTTCCAGAAATACATTTTTTTTAAAAGATGTTATTTATTTGAAAGAGTTACAGAGAGAAAGGGAGAGAGAGAGAGACAGAATCTTCCATCCACTAGTTCACAATTGGCCACAACGGCTGGGGATTGAGCCAGGCTGAAGCCAGGAGCCAGGAGCTTCTTCTGGGTCTCCCACGTGGGTGGCAGGGGCCCAAGGACTTGGGCCATCCTCCGCTGCTTTTCACAGCCATTAGCAGGGAGCTGAACCAGCAGTGGAGCAGCCGCAACACGAACCAGCGCCCATAACGGATGCCGGCATTGCAGCGGCAGCCCACCCTGCTACAGCGTGACACCGGCCCCCAGAAACACACTTCTGCTGGGAGGTGAGAGGCACGTCCAAGCCAGACCTGTCTCGTGTCAGACCCCACTGTATCTTCTACACAGCAGGCAGGGCTGCTGCCAGGACTCTGTTAATCCAAGAGACAGCATTTTGAGGAATACACCTGCTGCCAGGACTCCCAGCGTCACTTTTGGCGGCCTAACCTCTCCTTCCTCTCCGGTGGGTCCACTCTGGAGGCCTCCCCAGAGGCATCTGGCGGCTGTCTCTGGCTGAGGACAAACAGCAAACAGCCCAGCAAAGCCTCGCGCGTGCCCTGGGAGCCCAGGCGTTGAGCCAGTCGGCGCAGCAGGGGCAGGAGGTGCCGGCGGGCCAGGCGGGCAGCGGGCAGCAGCAGACGGGACAGCAGCGTTCGCAGCAGCAGCGGCAGCAGGGGGGCAGGCATGGCAGGGTCACCGCCTGTGAAGGCAACCCAGGCTCTAGACTTGGCACTTCTTGCTGCCGCCTCGGCCTGCAAAGACATGGGGGTGACCACGGGTTCCTCCTCCCTTCGCCTCTTGCTTTCCCATTCCCCAGACCTCAGTTCTTTTTTTTTTTTTTTTTTTTTTTTTTTTTTTTTTGACAGGCAGAGTGGACAGTGAGAGAGAGAGACAGAGAGAGAGAGAGGGAAAGGTCTTCCTTTGCTGTTGGTTCACCCTCCAATGGCCGCCGCGGCCGGCGCGCTGCGGCCGGCGCACCGCGCTGATCCGATGGCAGGAGCCAGGAGCCAGGTGCTTTTCCTGGTCTCCCATGGGGTGCAGGGCCCAAGCACCTGGGCCATCCTCCACTGCACTCCCTGGCCACAGCAGAGGGCTGGCCTGGAAGAGGGGCAACCGGGACAGAATCCGGCACCCCGACCGGGACTAGAACCCGGTGTGCCGGCGCCGCTAGGCGGAGGATTAGCCTAGTGAGCCGCGGCGCCGGCGCCAGACCTCAGTTCTTGGACTGTTTTCTACTTTCGAGTAGCTCTTTCTCTTGGCAAGGTATAGGGAGATGGAGCCAAGGCAGCGATATAGCTGGAGCTAGGGCCTGCAACTTGCCGGTCCGGGCCTCCAGGGGCTCCTACTGTCCCCACCCTCCACACCCTCCATCGCTGTAACCCCCTTGCTCATGCACGTCTCCAGGCCCCACATTCCCCGTCCCCCCCAGTCCAGCAGCTCTTCCCCCGCCAATTCTAGTTTTTCCCTTGGGGGGCTCTTGATTTCCCCTGACCTGACAGTCCCCACCCTCCCAGTCCCCCAGCTCTCACCGGTCAGAACGGCTGCTCAGTCAGTCCAGGCTGGCTTTGCCTGCGGTGGAGACAGCCTCATGGACACAGCACAGGGTCGCCCCATCCAGCTCGGCCCCACCCACTACAGCTTGCCTGGGTGGAGAAGCAAAGAGACAGCTGTCACCCCGGCACCTGGTATGTTGGGGGCTGAGGGGGGGGGAAGTGGCTAGGCTGGCCCCCTCCTGTAGTGTGGGAGGAGGGGGCATGTGTAGGAAATTCCTGGGGCTGGGTACAGCCCTCAGAGCTGGCTCCCAGACTGCACTTGCTCCTTGTGTTACTTGTGGCGTGTTGAGTCTTCTGGCCTCTAGGCCCTTGCTCTGTTACCCCAGTCACTGAGAGGACCAGGGACGAGCAACTGGAATGGAACCATGGGTGAGACCCGTTCACCCAAACCTCCGAAGCAGTCAGGCTACAGCCCGGGCCTGCTCAGAGTGACACGGACAGGGAACCTGGGGCTTGGGCAGGTATATGGGGCAGAGAAGCGCAAGCCCCATCCAGCTCATAGCTGGCCACAGTTGGACACAGCTGAGTGACAGTCTCACCCTAGGACAGGACCTCCACCCACTTCAGCCGCCTTGGATTAAATGAGGTTCCACAAGGTGGCCAGGTATATCCCAGTGGGTTTATAAGCCTGGGAGATAGATATAGATATAGATATTTTTTCTAGTATGTCATTCTCCTGGTTCAAATACATGTGTCTGGGGGTGGGGGTGGGGGTGGCGGTGGCGGTGGGGGTCAGGGATAGTTGGTGTAGTGGGTGAGATCCCACACATCCCGTATCAGAGTTCCTGGGTTGAAGTCCCAGCTCCCCTCGTGGGTCCAGCTTCCTGCTGACTTGCACTCTGGAAGGGAGCAGGTGATGAGGGCTCAAGCAGCTGGGTCTCTGCCACCCTCACAGGAGATGTGACTTGGTTTGCTCACTCCCAGCCCGGCCGGGCTTCTGCCATTGTGGGCATTTGGGAAGTGAACCAGCATTTGGAAGTGAACCGTCTGTCTCTGTCTAGATTAGTAGGCGTTCCCTTCCTCTCCTCCCATCGATTGCTGTGGAAGTGGAGGTGTGACGGCCGTGTGCTAGCCCAGGGCTGTGGCTGGGAGATGCTGAGCCTCTGAGTTCATGGCCCACTCAGTCCTCGCCACCTCCACCCTGCAGGGGAGCAGTTATCATAACCATGGTACAAATGAGGAAGCAAGTTCAGGGAGAGAACAGCTCACCCAGTCACAAGCAGATCAGTGGCCGCATTCTCCCCCAGATCTGTTGTCTCACCCTGGCCCAGGCTGTCCCGTCTCTGTAAGGGACAGTTACCTGCTTCTACTCACCTGGCCAAAACCTTGGAAGCTACCCTTGACTCCATGGTGGCTTCCCTTTCAACATATTGAGAATTGCACTTGTCCTTGGTGCCGCTGGGACCACCTGCCGTCTCTCACCGGCATTCATTGCAGCAGTCACCACCTGCCTGGGGCTCCTGTCTTGCTTTCCCCCATGGTGACCAGAATGACCATTCTACAACAGGAGTCAGCCCTGTTGCTTTTCTATTCAAACTGTCCAATGGCTGCCATCACTTGGGGTGTGACTGACCTGCAAGGCCCTAGGGGTCTCCCTGCTTGGGCGGATTCCTGATCCAACTTCTAGCTTTTTTTTTTTTTTAAGATTTATTTATTTATATATTTGAGAGAGAGAGTTACAGAGAGAGGGAAAGACAGAGAGAAAGGTCTTCCATCCACTGGTTCACTCCCCAAATGACCACAACGGCTGGAGCTGAGCAGATCTGAAGCCAGGAGCCAGGTGCTTCTTCCAGGTCTCCCACGCAGGTGCGGGGGCCCAAGGCCTTGGAGCATCTTCTACTGCTTTCCCAGGCCATAGCAGAGAGCTGGATGGGAAGTGGAGCAGCTGGGCCTCGAACCAGTTCCCATATGGGATGCCAGCACTGCAGGCGGAGGCTTAGCCCACTATGGTACTGTGCTGGCCCCCAACTTCCAGCCCTTGCCTCTCTGCTGCAGACACTGCTCTTCCTTACCTGGGCCTCAGCTCCCTTGCACTGTAGGGGAGGAAAAATAGCGCTTTCTTCTCCCTGTCTAGGGTCTTTGGCCAGTTTATGAATTCACTTGACATAAGGCAGGTTAACAGGAAATGAAATCACTCGTATATGCATGGGAGTCCCGTGAAAATATCAGTCTCAAGCAGCGGCCTGATGAGTGAAGCTTGGTTGCCACCCTGAGCAACAGAGGGGAATGGGGCTGTGCGGCTTCTGGGGGGATGGAGGGGAAAGGGGGAGAAGTGCGTGGTCAGTAAGCATGTCTGGCGCGATGGAAAGCCCAGGGCCCCAGAGCAGCTCTCCTCAGATGCAGTCCCACTCGTGAAGATGTCCTTTATGTCACTTTCCTTGACGAAAGGGTGGCTTCCCAGAGCTGCTCTCAAAATAACCCACTTGAAGTAATCAACTTGCCAAAGAGGGCTGTTTTGGGGTGGCATGTTCCTGGGTGATACGTCCTGAGCCCCAACACTCCCCATCTGAATCTTTCCCTAGTGGTTTCACATTTTAGAAACCAACCGGCTCAGCTCGTAGCTTGTCCCCATTCAAGAGGGAAACAAAAGGAAAACAATGATCGGAGCAGACCACGAAACAGAGTCTGGCTGGCAGCCAGCTGAGATTGTCTGATGCTGGGCTCAAAGCACCTTTTGCAATTTGAATGCATGAGTGGACTCCATGGCGACTGAATTCACCAGGCTGTCCTGGGTGACTTCGCCAAGGTCCTTCCACTCACCCAGCCGCAGCTTGCGGGGCCTCAAGGGCAAGGCCACTTTTGTCCTTAGTGATTCCAAGTGGAAGGGTGGAAGATATTAGAAATGTTAGTTTGGAGAAGCCTAGCTGACATTGGAGGAAACTAGAACTTAGACCCAGCAGGGGCCAGTGCTGTGGTGTAGCAGGTAAAGCCACCGCCTGCAGTGCCAGCGTCCCATGTTGGTGCTGGTTCAAGTCCCAGCTGCTCCACTTCAGATGCAGCTCCCTGCCATGGCCTGGGAAAGCAGTAGAAGAAGGCCCAAGACCTTGGGCCCCTGCACCCACGTGGGAGACCCGGAAGAAGCTCCTGGCACCAAATCAGCCCACCTCTGGCCATTGTGGCCATTTGGAGAGTGAACCAGTGTATGGAAGACCTCTCTGGCTTTCAAATAAATAAATCTATAGGAGAAAAAAAGATCCAGTCCAATGTTCAAGTAGGTAAAGAATCCTCAAAGAACAGGGACTAGAATCCAGTAACAGACACAGGGCCGTTTTCTACTGAAACGTAAGTGTCCTGTGTACCCTTTTCTACTAGTGATATGTGGTAAGACTGATCTATTGGCAGTAAGGCTGGTCTTGTTGAACTTGACCTCTTTACATAACACAGCTAAAACTGTGACTCAGCATCTAGGGTCTCTTCACGTCTGCTTTGCTGGAACTTTTAATAAGGACAGGACTTCAACATTTTTATGATTATTTTATTTTACTTATTTGAAAGGCAGAAAGACAATGAGAGGGAGGGAGAGTGAGGAAGAGAGCAATCACCCATCCCATCCACCGCTTTACTCCCCAAATGCCTGCAAAAGCAAGGGCTGGGCCAGGCTGAAGCCAGGAACTGAGGGACTCCATGCGGGTCTCCGACATGGGTGGCAGGGATCCAGGTACTTGAGCCGTTATCTGATGCCTCCCAGGGTGTGCACTAGCAGGAAGCTGGAATCAGAAGCAGAGCCAGGACTTGAACCCAGGGAGCCCCTCAATATGGGATGTGGGCATCCCAAGTGGTGACTTAAACTCTGTGTCATATGTTCACCCCTCCCTGCAGTTTTGATTGGCTCCATAACGACAGCTTAGTCCCTTAAAGCTTATCTGGTCTTGCCTGAAGTGACACACATGTCTAAATAGGACATTCTAATCAAAGTCTTGGAAATATAATCAACGTTTCCAACTGCATCCTGTAAGAAAGAACAGATTCTGATTGAACTTATGCAAATGAAAATATTGCCATGAAAATAAGAATGCTTACTAAAAGTTTCTAAATTCCGGAGGGATCCATAGGGAGAAGTAAGCATTCCAATTCTGTTTACAAAACGTATACTTTACTGGATTGCTAAAGGTTTCTTTAAATCCAGTCCAATGGTATGGTGGTAAAGTTACTGGCAACCTGTCACTCTCAGTCCTTGCCATGAATATCCTTGAAGACACAGGGTTACAGCTGCTTGCAAAAGCCTTCAAGGGAAGTATCAGCGTGAAATAATCGCTGTGGATGACAGAGGCTGGAATTGGCCATGGTTACATGTCTGATGGAAGTTCATTGACAAGGAAATTCCGTGTGTGTGTGACATGAACTCTGTATGATAACTAGAATTATGAATGACAACGTTATACCAGGGCATATCAGAGTTCCAGGAATTTCATACAATTTCTGGAACACATGTTAATAACAAGGGTCCATAAAGGTAACGTAGAGGTGGGCATTGTGGCTGAGCGGGTCAAGCTGCCACTCATAACATTGGCATCCCGTACGGACACCAGTTTCCGGCTGCTCCACTTCTGATCCAGCTTCCTGCTGATGCGCCTGGGAGAGCAGTGGAAGATGTTGAATTCTGGGCTCTTGGCTCTCAATCTGGCCCAACCCCAGCTGTCTGTTCGTGTTTGCAGAAGGAACCAGCAGATATCACATCTCTCTCTGTCATTTTTCCTTCTCTCTGCCTTTTGAATAAAGTAAACATTTTTTAAAGAATAAATCTTTAGGGGCCAGTGCTGTGGCGTAGCTGGTAGGGCTGCTGCCTGCAATGCCAGCATCCCATATGGGCGCCGGTTCAGGTCCCAGCTGATCCGGCTCTCTGCTATGGCCTGGGAAAGCAGTGGAAGATGACTTAAGTCCTTGGGCCCCCGCACCTGCGTGGAAAACCCAGAGGGAGCTCCTGGCTTCAGATCGGCGCAGCTCTGACTGTTGCGGCCAGAGTGAACCAGTGGGTGGAAGACCTCTCTCTCTCTCTGCCTCTCCTTCTCTCTTTGTGTGACTCTTACTTTTATTTTTATTTGACAGGTAGAGTTATAGACAGTGAGAGAGAGAGAAAGGTCTTCCTTCCGTTGGTTCACTCCCCAAATGGCCGATA